ATCCTGGAAAACACTTCTACAATTGTCATAATGGAAGATGCGCATACTTTAGATGGTTGAGCCCTAGGGATGAACTTGCACCTGATGTTGTTGCTAATGTGAATGCTGCTAATGTCAATAATGGAATCAGGAATGATATTATAGATGGTTTAATGTCTTTGACAAGATTAATTGTGTATGCAAGCATGGACATTTGTATTGTAGTTGTCCTAACAATGTTCATTGCCTTTCTATCTAAATAAAATTATGAGTAGTGTTCTATTATAATCATTGTGTACTAATGCAATTACAACACAACTACAATATCAAAGTATGCATACAACCTTTAATTAAGTCACAACCAATTTTCAAATCAAAATATAATCATCGATATCACAAACATTAAAAGCCAAAAAATAACCCATGAATACCATTACCAACTACCACATAGACCAAAGTTTAAATATCCCTTCAAATTCATTACATAACCAAAAAATACTATTGAAGTTGCATAACCCAAAAGTATCCATAAAATTCATTACATATCATTTACTTGCATAACCCAAAAAACTGTGCTATGTGTGAAATTTAGCTTGTGCAAAAACTTATGTTAGCACTGTGCAAAAAGTCATGTTTACGGTATACTATGTCCTACTTCCTATTGTAAGTAGAGTGGTGCAACATGGAATCTGAATGCCTTGTGTTGCTTTTACTGGTTTCATATTTATTGAAGTTGAACATAATCCCTGAATAACAAGGACATAAATAAAAATGCATTTATACTTTTACCTATTAAAATAATTAATCTCAAACATAAATGAATTATATACCTAAGTGCCTTGTGTTGTTAGTGCTGCTACTGATGTTTCTGCTATCCTACTTCTTGAACCCTAAAATGAAAACAAAGCTTCACAATATAAACATAAACTAAAATATACAAAGCTTTACATTATAAATCAAAACTTTAAGAGATGAATTAAATACTTGAGAACCTTGTGCTGCTGCTCCAATCCTTCTGGATTTTCTTGATACACTTTTCCTCCTTACTGTTGGGGCTGTTGATGATGATGGGCCTACTGTTGCTGCTGCTTTTGCTTTTATTGCTTTTGCTTTTGCTATTTTTGCTTATGCTGCAGTAGGAGCCTTTTCACATCCCCTCTTGTTGTGTCCAAACACACTACATATGCTGCAAGTGATAACACTTAACCTTCGAGTTGCTTCTGGTTCACCAACCTCCCTCTTTCTTTTCACTCTAGGTCTGCCTATTGGTCTTTTGAGAACTGGTGGCTCCAATGGTGCTTTGTCAACATCACTCCACATAGTCTCATGATGCAATGGGTGTATAAAAGTACTATAAATCTTTGCATATGTACTCTTGCTGTAGAAATCTAAACAAAAACTCTCAAAATCATGCCTTGTGTGTGTAATAGCTCCAACATGCATGCCTGCAAGGCACTCCAAACACTTGTCATTCCTCATAGCAGCAACTCCTTCCATCTAGCTTCATAATATAAGACATGTGTATCCATTTCTGTAATGTGATACAAATCCCCACCAGGCCATATCAGTTCACATGTAACAGCTTTAGAGATGTTAGAGTTCATTTTTTTTCCTAGCTTTAGGCACTGTTGTATTTGTCCACTCTACTGTCCTTTGAAATCTTTTGCCAAACTTGGACATTAGCTTTGTTGCTATGCATTCCAAAATTGCAGTGATTAGTTTTTGTCTAATATTCCTAAGCCAAGAATTATATGACTCCACATGATTGTTGGTGACAAAGTCACACTTTGCCCTAGGATCAAATTTGTGTCTAGCCCATGTTTCTAAAAGATGTTCCATCAACCAATTGTAGCCCCCCCCCCCCCCCCCCACCCAAATTTGTGACTAGCCCATATTTCTAAAGGATGTTCCCAGAATAATTTTTTGTACTTCACACCAGGTTATTGTGTCCTAAAATTGGCACAGATATGCTTGCAACATCTCCTAGTAAGTACCTACGGAAAAATAGCTCCCAAAATTCTTTTTTACCCATCTGACATAAAGGTCCAAGAAATATCTCCAATTGTATCACCAAGGAACTTGTGCAAGTGATCTAAAAACCATTTCCAACTGTCCTTTGTTTCAGATTCAACAATGGCAACAACAAATGGATACAACCCACTATTCCCATCAAGTCCTATAGCCCTAAGTAAAGTACCCCCAGAAGGTCCTTTTAAGAAACATGCATCAATACTAATAAAAGGTCTTCACCCATTAATAAACCCATTTTGACATGCAGCAAATGATAAAAAAAATTCTCTTAAATTTTGGAGGCTTAACTTCACTTTTCTTTATAAACACTAAACTGGTTAGATTTGTTTTCACCAACTCAGCTGCAAACTTTCATAACTTTTCATATGACTTAGTATGGCTCCCCTCAATCTCCTCTTTTGCTTTCCTTTTAACCCTCGAACAACTTATATCACTGACAATTGTAAGAAACTTCTCTCCAACTTCCTGTTTCAAATCCTTTATGGAAATGTCATGATTCTTTCTGAACCTGTCTAAAAGCTTTTTTGCAATAAAGGTAGAAATCACACCTTTGTTCTTAAATGTTTTGACGCAACAGTACTGTTCTGGGCCAACTTTTCTTATCATAAAAGTCATTTTATCAGGCAATAGGGCTGCATGAATTCCCCAATTACAGCCTGTATTCCTACAACAACAGGTAATTCTTTTCCTTTCATTTTTTTTCCTCACAAGTTTAAAACCTTTTTCGATAGAATATTCTACCAAGACATCTCTGAAGTGGTGGATATCATCAAAGATATAGTACTTATCAAATACAATTTTACCCCCCTCACCGTATTTGAATGGCTTTCCTTTCAAAGCTCTGCGCAAATACTTCATAGTTATATTTCTATAGTTTATGTTTCTAATTTTATTTTTGCCATTTTGACCCTTACATCTTTCTCTTTCCTCCTCACTTTCACTTTCTCCACTCACATCACAATTCTCACTATAATCAGAAAACTCACCATCACTATGCTCTGAAGTCTTATTCTCCAAGTGAATATTATCCAAATTGTCATCTCCCAAATTATCAACTCCCCATCCCTCATGAACACCAGTCCAATCTTCATCATCACTGTCAGAAAAACTATACTGAGAGTCTCCTTCACCACCATCACTCCTCTCATCACTCCCCTCATCTAACATCAATGTTTCATTTAGAATGACTTCATCAACATCACTATCTCCCCCCACCTCAAAGGCATTATTAGAGCCTACACCATTACTGCATGAAGCTAAACAATACTGAACAACTTCAACAAATATGTTTATATCCTTACAACCCGTCATCATCTCAAACATGATGATTATATTTTCATCCAGTTCTAAAAACATTCTATCAGTACAATCAGGATTTTGAAAATAAATATTAAATGTTATAGAAACTTTCTCAAGACACACTTCATCACGTAGTAAGTAGGTAACATGACTATTCAGTAACACATAACTATACTTTTTAGGATAAATATTCCTATCACATGTATGTGTCCGTCATAGTGAACAATGATATCATGCAAAGTATCAGATACCATTTGAATCTACAAAAAAATAAAATAGAATAGAATAGAATAATTATGCTAAGAAACAAACCTAATTGCTAATAGTCAAAATTAAGGATGGTAACAATAAAAGCAAAGGTCAACAAACATGGTAACAATAAGCAAAAACCCATCAATTAACCTTAATCCAGCAAAAATAAACATGCTAACAGTAAAAACCAAAGGTTAATTTACCCAAATTAGGGTTAATCCAGCAAAAATCCCATCAGTTAACCCTAATTAAGTATAGGGTTTTGCTAAAATTAGGGTTAATTACACCCTTATTCCATGAAAAAAAAAAAAAAAAAAAAAGATCATAATTCTAGTAAATAATAACATGCCGAAAACAAAACAATAACATAGCAACGATAAATAACCCTAAATTAAGGTTAATGAACCCTAATTTTGGGTCATTTTAGTGCTAGGTAGCCCAAATTAGGGTTAATCCAGCAAAAGGCCCATCAATTAACTCTAATTAATTATGGGGTTTTGCTAGAATTAGGGTTAATTACACAATTATTCCACCAAAAAAAGAAGATCCTAATTGCAAAAAAGAAAATAATAAGATGCAAAAAAGAAAACAATAACATGCAAAAAAACAATACAATAACATAGCAATGATTAGATTAGGGTTCTTAGAAAACAACCTGAGATTAGCGTGCAAACGACTCTGAAATTGGTCAATTGTACATGGAAAAGGCCTGAAATGGACTTGATTAGTATGTAGTTGGATGGAAGGTATATGGGTTTGATCAGTGATGTATGTGGATGGACTGGAACTAGGGCTTGATGGTATGAAGTTTGGACTCTAGAACTACGATTCTGGAACTAGGGATTCATGGTTTTGTTAACATGGTGGCTCGTATCCGTAGAGAAGAGAGAGACAAAAGCGTCCCTTCAGATAGAGATAGTGCACAGAGGGTGTGTTCGTATTAGCGGGAGTGTGGTTGGTAGTGGGTAGGTAGGAGTTTAATTAGGCGAAAATGAACATAAATGATACTTAATTTCGAAAGATATTTGAAGGTAATATTTGACCAAACCTAAATGGTGTCAGTAAAATTAATCCTAAAATTTTTAACTTAGACGATTGTGACCATAGTTAAAATTTCACATGCTTCTAGAATAGCATATTTTTACACGAAAATATTTACAAGACTTTCGTGTCACCAAACTAAGCGTATCACCCATTCCGGATTTTTGACGATCGACATTGACACATTGACCGTAAAGAAGTTACAGCCAATGCGAGAGAGAGAATTGTCAAATGGGACGCTGAAAAGAATTCATTTTTGATTAATATCGTGAGCTGTACGTGAGTATTAAAAAAATAAAATAAAACAAAATAAAAGTCAAACTTAAAAGGCTATGAAAGTTGACTTCCGGAGGCGTAAAATGCTACAAGAACAGTGACGTATGATTCTTTTTTGTACAAACCGTCAACATATATCTCTCACACAGCGCGCGCACACACACTTCATTTTGTCAACAAAGTTTATCTTCTCCTCTCTCTACCGCGTTTTTCCATTTTCTAATCTCTTTACTTTCCAAACCCTCTGTTTTTGGTCTCCCGTCCTAAACTCTTCCACTCCTTTCTTCATCTTGACTTGTATATCACCTCCACATCAATCTCTCTCTCTATATATATGTATATGTATATGTATATGTATATGTATATGTATACATCAACAAAATTGAAAGAAGCTGAAGGTAGATCGTAGTCGGAACTTGAATTTTGGCGATTCAATGCGGAAAAAGGTACGAATTCAGATCTCTGAGTTGTTCGTTTTTCTTCGTCAATTACAGAAATTTAACTAAATTTTTTGATTCAGTTTTAGATGTATTGAGAATTTCTAGTTTTTAATCTTCTATCTGAATTAGAAGATTTGTTTTCAATTTGATTATGAGCTTCTTATGAGGTTTGGTTGAAGGGCGTTAGAGATAACAATCTTCTTGATATCTGAGGATCACGAAGTCTATGATAGCATTTGATTTGCGTAGTTTTTTCTGTTGATTAATTTCTAGAACTTTCTCTCGTTGATTCTGTTTGTTTATTGTTCCCTCTCTTCTGTGTTCAACGAAGATGAGTAGTTTTGAGAGTTTTTACTTTTTTTATATTTTTAGACCCCAATCAGTTTTAATGCGAAATGACCAAAAAGTATCATTTAACATTTACAATTTTGTTCAAAAAATTTAACACTTAGCGCCCAACTTTTTTGTTTTTTTTTTGGTACACCTATATATAAATGGTACCGAAGCAAAACATTAAGCATGCATAATATTTTTTATTAACTCCTTGTGTTACAATATCTCGTCGATTTAAAGATATTTTACTAAACAACTCCATCCAAACACAACTCGTTTAAAAATTATGTCAGATATTCTCAACACTAAATCGACCTGTTTATTAAACAGGTTATAGGTATAACCCGTTTAATGACGTATTTGATAAAATAAAATATTTTATTATTTAAATTATTAAACAATAAATAATCAAACAATAAATCGTAAAAAAAAAAATGTTTCAATCCAACCAAATTATTAAATAATCTCTAATTTACAAAATTAGATATTTATTTTGGAATTTAAATAGAAATTTGTTTTAAATAGATATTTATTTATGATACATATAGTTAAACGGGTATAAATGAGTTGCACGAATTGAATCTCTCAATTTAAACACGACACGATTAATTAAACGAATTAATCGTGTCAATTCATTATGACCTGAATCTATTTAAAATCAATTCAAACATATTTGATTCGTGTCATGTTGGAGTCATGTTTACGGATAATTAAACTTTGCCCCCTCATTTATCTAAAATAAAATATCATTTGTTTGTTCCCATTTTTTTACTTGTAGAGTAGTTCAATATGTGGTTTGGACCATGTGGTTGGTGGGGACTCTAAGACCCTCTTTTCAAATTGTGTATAACATCACGGTACTTTGCAATGCCAATTCATAATCTGTCATGTCACTTATTTAGAAAAAAACGATAAATGATTGATTTTATCATTTTTAGTGGTGAGTAAAAAGTTGATGAAACTTTTTTTATAATAGTGAAATTCACTTTAATTTTAGAAAATTTTAAAATAAAAATAGTGAAATTATAAATTTCTATTTCTTTACATAACAAATCTCAAATTTGAATAAATGAGAGTGTTTTTCAATAATCGGGATGTTCAGAATTTTTGTTTCGATTAATTTACAGGACTTGTATAAAGTCACCTGTTCTTTAAAGAATTGATCTTACTCGATGAGAATCGAATATAAAAAAATGTTTCATGAGACACCATATTCCGGTACTTCTAAGTATTATTATGTGGTGTGGGAGTAGGACAAGTGGCTGCTGGCCTGGCCATTGGATGTCATGGACCACATGTTCACAGCTGAAGAAGCAATTTATATTGTGAACGGAATGTTAGAATTTTCACTGCTTTCCTTTAATCTCAAATCTACTGTAGGCTCCATAGTCTTGTTGACCGTTCACTGCTTATTGGTCGGACAGGTGGGTCACATCTGCCTTTGAAAACTTTATGATGCACGTCGGTCCTCGAATTTAGGCGCCACTTGTGTTCTAGAAACTTTTAGTTGGATTGATCAATAATAACGTGGACCCTTTTTAAATTACTGTTCTGAACCATTTTTTTTTTTTTTTTACTATGTGTTTATCTGTTCCTATAATTATTTAAGTATGATACTTATATATATTATTTTTGTATGCCGTTTATTTATTTTTTCTTTTCAAAACTGAAAAAATATTTGAAAAGAAGACGTGACATGAAATTAGGATGTGAAGGAAATCTATAAAACATTGTTTTGGTGCATAAATGCTACACTAAACACTTAACGCGAATCCTGTATTGCGGGTCTTCCACCCTGTTACACCAAAACATCACTATTTTAATGTTGTTTGATATACAACATGGCCAGCGGCAGCTATTATCAGTGACGGACTCAGAAAATTTTGTGAGGGGGGCCAGCTTTTTAATTTATGGATACAAAATTATATAATGGGTTCATTTTTGTAATTTTAATAGGGTTTTTTTCATAAATTTTAAAAATTTTAAAGTATAAAATGAAAAAAAAAAAAAAATCAGTGGGGCAAATTATAATTCTAGTAGGGGCATCTTCATAAATTATCAAAATTTGATGTATAAAATGCTAAAAAAAAAGAATCCAGTAGGGGAGAATTGTAATTTTAGGGGGGCATTTTCATAAAATTTTAAAAAATTAGGGTATAAAATGAAAATATTAAAAATCCAGGGGGGGCAGATGCCCCCCGGTCACTTGCTGGGTCCGTGTTTGGGTATTATCAAGGTAAATGAAATATTGTGATTGGTTGGAGGTATTTAACAACGGCCACTCCTGAGGTAGTGTATAATTTTTCTTTTGCGAGATTCCAAATAATTAGATGATACATGAACATACATACTTATAGGCCACTTTTTTTTAGTTTATTTGTTTATTTGTTTGTGGTTGAATAAAATTACTGTTTGTCTGTATACAAATAAATAAAATATATTACATATGTATGTATGCATATGTATATATATGATTTATATTGGTACTAAAATTACAAGTAGTTTGGTGTGAAACCAAAGGAGATCTAATTTGACTGTGTGTAGTGGCATAATGTGAACGCTGGGTGTGTGTCAAAGAATCGATTATTTTCTTGTTTTGTCATCCCTAGTTTCACTTTCGCTTTTTTCATAATGGATCTGCAATATTTCTGTTGAATTTTGCTTCCATATTAAAATAATGAAGAAAATGTCAATTATATATTACCCAAAGAGTGCTAAAAATGGTGCTAGGTAAGGTAGGTAGACCAACTAAACAAAATAAAGAGAATTGATGGTAAGTGACTTATGACTTTTTGCTTTTGTTTTATCTTTTTTCCCTGATAGGTGGTGGGGTTGACATTGATTGAAAACAAAGTTTTACCGTACAATTGGATAAATAGGACGGAAAGAAAAGGATAGCACCATTAGGAGAGAAAAAAAACTGAGAGGATATTATCAACCTTTCACTGTGTTTGATAATTAAAAATGAAAAATAAAGAACGGGTTAAAGTGCCAAAAAAAAAAAAAAAAAAAAAAATCCTCTAAATTATGTTCAAATTTGCAAAGGACCTCCCTAGAAGTATATTTTGTGCATAAAACCTTCTTAACCCATCACATTTTATGCAAAATACCCCCATACCTAGGCTACTTTTAATTAAATGACCATAATGTCCTTTCTTGAATTACACGTAATTATTTTTCTTATTAAAATAAATTATGAAAAAAAGAAATTCATATTTATTTTAGATAAATGGTAGTTACAACTCTATTTATTATTTTCCCATTTTTATGATAAATTGATACTAATAATAAAATTAAGGTAAATGGTTTAATTTATACTTACATAAGAGAATAGATAATAACAATAACTTGATAAGAAATGAAAATTTTTAATGAGAAAGGGTAAAATGGTCTTTTGTGATAGATTTGTCCTTGATTGCAACAAATCAATAGTTTAAGAGGAGGCAGTTTTAGTTAGGGGGTTATTTGCAAAAGGATAGTAGTTCAAGCGGGTTTTTTTTGCACTTTACCCTAAAAAAAATGATATTCATGACTCACTTATTTCAACCTTAAGTCAAGTGAATAATTTAATGACAAAGACTCTCACCTTATTATCATCTTGGGAGTTCAAGAGATCGAATAATTAGAAGTGGATCATAGAAAGAAAATGAAGTAGTGTTTTATTATCTGAATGGGGAGGGCATAACACAAGTTCAATATTTTTGATCTATTTTGTTATCCATTTTCTTAAAACTTCTCTCTTTTTTCTCTTTTGTTTCTGAGTTACTTTTTGTTCAACAAATAGCTTACTTGAAGACCTCAAATTGTTTCTCTATTCTGAATATAACATCTTGTATTACTTCTTATTGCCACTTACTTGTACATAACCAGTCCTGTTTAATTCCCATCCTATACAGCTTCACAATCAACATTAATGCTAGTAAGACAAGTTCCAATTCATCCCAAGAATGAAAAAAGCAATCCTATCAGTAGTCCCAACACTATCTATTCTGCTGTTGCTGCTAGATTCATCGTTGGGAGATCCAAGAACCCATATGGTTCAAATCAAATGTGGGAACCAACTTGAGCACAATTCCACAGCCTATGTCCCAGCCTTTGTTGCTACAATGGAGAACATCAGTGAACAGATGCGAATTTCTGGATTCGGAACAGCTGCTAAAGGCTCTGGACCGGACACTAACTATGGACTCGCCCAATGTTATGGGGATCTCTCTTTACTCGACTGTGTACTGTGCTATGCCGAGGCACGTACTGTCCTCCCTCAATGCTTCCCATTCACTGGGGGACGCATTTTTCTTGACGGTTGCTTCATGCGAGCAGAGAATTACAGCTTCTTCCAGGAATATGCCGGACCTGAAGACAATGCCTTGTGTGGGAATACAACACAGAAGAATTCTACATTTCAAGAAACTACGAGGAGGGCTGTATCGCAAGCTGTTTCAGATGCATTAAACAATAATGGCTATGCACGGGCTCAGGTGGCAGTGTCGGGGACAGCAAACGAGTCAGCCTATGTCCTGGCTGATTGCTGGAGGTCATTGAATTCGAGTTCTTGCAAGGCATGTCTAGAGAATGCATCTGCCTCGGTATTGGGATGTTTGCCATGGTCCGAGGGGCGGGCATTGAACACCGGATGCTTCATGAGATATTCTGATACGAATTTCCTGAATCCTGAACCGGGGGGAAATGGACTATCAAGAGGTAAAAGAAATGTAATTATTATCTAAATTTGAGCACAAATGAATTTATCAGCAGGTGTTTGATTAATTTTAAAATAGAATCATGGACTATAGTTGATGGCATTTGCAGGGACCATAATAGTGATAGTAGTTGCAGTTGTCAGTTCTGTGGTTGTTTTGGTTGTTGGGACAGTGATTGGAGTTTATATCTGGAAGCACAGAAAAATACAGAAGAAGAGAAGAGGTATGTAATGTGGCTTTTTGCATATTACTATTATTTTTCCCTTTCAAACCTCTCCTATATAAGTAGTAGTTTAAAGTCTCCCCAATTTAGGTACTATAATTGTGTATCGGTAAGGTTGCTCGATTGTGACCTAGAGGTCACGGGTTCGAAACGGAAACAGCCTCCAAACCCCACAATGGGGATAACCATTTTTAGTTGTCCAACAAATAATTTAGGTAGGGATTTAAGCAAAAATGAAGACCTTATCATGTTTCCTCATTTTCCTGTTTTGTCATTCTCTAATATCCCAGGTTCAAATGATGCCGATAAATTGGTGAAGACCCTTCATGACAGTAGCTTGAACTTCAAATACTCTACGCTTGAGAAAGCCACTGGATCTTTTGACGAAGCCAATAAGCTCGGGCAAGGAGGATTTGGAACAGTGTATAAGGTAATTTGTCTGGTGATCCATATCAAACATATTATGCTACTCTTTTGTTTTCCCTAAATTCAATTCGATTCACATGTTTAACAAATTAACTCTACTTCAGGGTGTTCTGCCTGATGGAAGAGAGATTGCTGTCAAGAGGCTTTTCTTTAATAACAAACACAGAGCAGCGGATTTCTACAATGAGGTTAACATTATTAGCAGTGTGGAACACAAAAATCTTGTCCGGTTATTGGGATGCAGTTGTTCGGGACCTGAAAGCCTTCTTGTATATGAATTCATGCCAAACAAGAGTCTTGATCGCTTCATCTTCGGTGAGTACTAAAATTTTAAGTCGAAGTTTGAATTCTGAGGTCATCTAAATGGCTTCATTTTCTTTAAAAATGACCAAGAATACTTCAATTATCAATTGCTACTACTCAGAACTTACATTTCAATACTGTGCCAACACTGAATTGACAGATTCAATTAGAGGTAAAGCACTGAACTGGGAGAGGAGATTTGATATAATCATCGGAACAGCAGAAGGGTTGGTCTACCTTCACGAAAACTCCAAAAACCGAATCATTCACAGAGATATAAAAGCAAGTAACATCTTGTTGGATTCAAGGCTTCGTGCTAGAATCGCTGATTTTGGGCTGGCCAGGTCTTTCCAAGAAGACAAGAGTCACATCAGCACAGCTATAGCAGGAACACTGTAAGTATCACATTGTTCATCATTGATTAAATAGTAACAGAAAATGAAATTTCACCAAATTTAAAGATTGAACACTCTGTTTATCAACTTATACGAATATGAAGACCGAATCAACAACATGGCCTTTAATTTTTTCTTGAAATGGCAATGATTTAATTTTTCAAATCTGCAGAGGATATATGGCTCCGGAGTACCTAGCACATGGCCAGTTAACAGAAAAGGCAGATGTGTACAGCTTTGGTGTGCTTTTACTAGAGATTGTTACAGGAAGGCAAAACAACAGGAGCAAAGCCACGGAGTACTCAGAAAGCCTAGTCACAATTGTGAGCACACAAACTCCGTTTCTCTTCCATAATTAAATCTTTTTTGCAGCACTTTCATACATGTGAATTAGCCTCTTATCCTCATTCGTTTATCATCTTATTCTGGATGAAACAGGCCTGGAGACATTTCCAACAAGGGACGGTGCAGGAACTTTTTGACCCTAATATAATGCTGCATAATTATCATAACAGCAGCGTCAAAAATGAGGTTTTGAGAGTGGTGCATATAGGACTTCTGTGCACTCAAGAAGCTCCATCACTACGGCCCTCAATGTCTAAGGCGCTAGTGATGCTGGCAAAGAAGGATGAACAGCTTCCCGCGCCCACTGTTCCCCCTTTCACAGACGAAAAGACCATGGAACTTAATGACATGACTCAGAACCCGTGTTATCCCCTCAATGCTGCCAATTCTGCTTCCATTGCCAGTGTCTCCCATAGTTCCTTCTACCCCAGGTGACACCCTAGAGGACCGACAATGGAAGATTCACAGAAAAGTTCTCACACTTCATCGGCATTCAAGGGAAAAAAGCTCTCAAGTATCTGAGTTTGATCGTGCCCTTGCTCGACTCACATGTACACAGTAATCAGCAGAGGGCATGGTATACAGTCTCTTTTAACAGTATAAAGAATGTGGATTGGACTTGGTTACAAAAATAGAGTTGTGTAAAGTTTCAGGGCAACAAAGACTCACCCTTTCCAAGTATTCTGGTGAACCAGAATTTAGAGAAGGTACCAACCCTGTATACTTAATATTGTGATTCATTGATCACAAGTTTTGCTCTTACCCTTTTAATATTAAGTTTGTCCAATATATTTTCTTTTTTTCTTTTTCTTATCTTCTTACATGGCATTAAGAGTATAAAGTTGAGACTTATAAATTGAAATGTCGCATCATGTATGTTCTCTTTAATTCCTTATTTTTCTGAGTTGTGAAGTATTGAGACAATAGGATATAACATTATGATAACATTATAATGTCATCTCTCACCAGGTAAGGATCTAGCGAAGGTCCAGTGGGGGAAATTGCCCCCGCTTAAATATCTTTTTTTTTTCCTGAATTATATACTTAGAAATTTTTAAATTTGCCCCACTTGAAATTACAAAAAAAAAAAAAAATTCACTATTGCCCCCACTCCATGATTTGAATCTTTTTATCTTCTTGTTAAAGATCCACCCCCTTTCACATAATTTTTTGGTTTGTTCGTCTCTCCCTAATATAAAGCAGTCAGTCCGACTAAAAATTATGTAAAAGATGCAGACGTCATCATTATGTCATCTCCCACTCATATAAAATAGCAGCATACATTGGTACCCATACTACACAACTTTCTTCACACACCCATAAGAGAGAGAGAGGAGGTGAAAAGGATACTAATACTATCACTTTTGAGGCTTTGTTTGGGAAAAGTCTTAAAAATTATGGATGGGCTCAGGTTAAATTTGGGCTGGCCCGCCCAGAAGGCAACCCAATTTGAACGCATACACACTTGAGTCCATGTCGAAGAAATGGTAGTAGGTAATATGTTAGCAATACCAAGCCCCATAACGACAAGAAGAACAACAAACAAGTCTTTTTCCTAGTTATTTGTTCGTCTACGTAATCACGTAAGGCCATGGTCTCGGTCAAATAACATTATCATATTTGTGTTTCCTAACTTTACTCATGATACCTAATGTTACAAGGGGTCATTTGTCCTACATCGAATTCAGATAAAAAAAATAATTGGGTACAAATAGGTGTGTATGCAATATTATCCAACAAGTTTGAGTTTTTGGATAAATGGATAAATGCTCACCCGTTACAGTTGCTATTAAAGCCAGACCCATTCCTTGATTTGGTGCCACGCCAAACGTCCGGGTGAGCCATCCCAGCTAGGCAGAATGGCCCTACTGCAACGAAAGTATTGCGGTTCAGGTGAGGAAGGATGTTATAAGGGGTCATTTGTCCCACATCAGATCTTGATAGAAAAGTGATTGAGTATAAATAGGTGAGTATGCGGCATTACTTAAGAGTTTGAACTTTTTGATAAATAGATAAGCAAGCATTATCAAGATATAAAAAAGATTTCACATGCATCTCCACTCAAGAAAATGCATACTTGTTGGGAAACAAAAAAAAAAAATCAAGAATATGCATGGAGCAATAAATAAGGATTTCTAAGAATGTGTCAGCAAAGGCAAATTCAAATATACATGGAGCATGCTCAGAATCAATCTTACTTCACACCCCATAAAGAGAGAAAGGGGTGAAAAGGGGATACTAATATTATTTCTTGAGGCTTTCGTTTGGCAAAGTCTTAAAAATTATGGCTGTGCTCAGTTTAAATTTGGGCTGGCCCGCCCATAATGCAACCCAATGTGAACGTATACATACACACTTCAGTCCATGTCATATAAATGGTAATAGGTAAGTGTTATCAATATTAAGCCCAATAAAAAAAAAACAACAACAAATAAGTCTTTTCCCAACTACTCGGGTCAGATATGTGAATCCTTTATACTCTATCTAGACCAGTCAATGGATCAGATTCTTCCCTTTTGGCGGACTCCTTTTCCTGTTCTATTGATCAGAAGCATCCAACAGCGCCTCGCTAATATAAAGAGTAGCTAAGCTGCTGTTGGGGAACTCGGAGTACTATTTTGCCGCTTCCGCCTCTATAGGCTTCACAACAGCTCCCAATCAGCTCGATACGCCATGCTAACGGTTAGCCGATAATGGAAATCTAAATATTTCAAGTGTGCCGTGGCTGATCTTTATAGGTAGCCGGTTTTTACTTAACTATCGATCCGATCCGATACGAATCGGATGAGCATTATAGCTAATCGGATCCTATAATCCAACCGAATTATTAGTTAATCAATTCATATATATCCGATTGTTTTGTTTATCGGTTCTTCGATCCGATTATTTTGTTATACACTCATGCACCAATCAAAGAGCAAGAAAAACAATTAGCATAGCAAGAAAAACTTAGGAAAAAAGAGAAAAATCAATTCCAAGATGATTTTTCTTAAAGGGATGGAAAAAAGAAGAAGTTCAAACCAAGGGGAACTCACCGAAGGGGATTTGTTGTCTACCAATCTAACAACTCACTCTTTTAAAGCTTGACCAGTGAAGAGAGTTTTTAAGTTATAAAAAAGCTTGTGGGGAGGGGGTGAAGATGTTAACATGTAACTAAATAATTTATATATATATATATATATACACACACACACACAATTTTAGTCGGATCGAATCACTCATAATTCATATTCGATTTGTTGAGCAAACGGATTATTGTATTCGAATCATTATCGAGTTATCTGCTTTTTTATTCCATCAAAATTTGTTACTACCCCATCCCATGGTTTGAATCTTTTTATCTTCTTGTTGTTAAAGGTCCGCCCTTTTTTACATAATTTTTTGATCCGTCTCTCAGTAATATAAAACAGCCAGATACATCCAACTAAAAATTATATAAGAAATGTGGGCGTCATCATTATGTCATATATCCCACTCATATAAAATAGCGGGATACATTGGTGCCTATACTTTCTTCACACAAGGGAAAGACGGGATGAAAAAGGATACTAATATTATCACTTTTGAGGCTTTCTTTGGGATAAGTTTTAAAAATTATGGATGGGCTCAGGTTAATTTATTTATCTATCTGCTGCAAGAATCAAAAGTTCAAAACCCATATATTTTAGTTTATCTATCTGCTGCAAGGATCAAAAGTTCAAAACCCATATCGGCATATCATTTCATATTGTTCAAAAAATCAAAACCCATATCTTTCAGTTTCGGGTTCGCCGTTCACAACTTCAGCCGCTGTTCCAGGCCGCATTGATATCGGAGACCGCAGCTTCCATGGCCGCCTTCGCAGCTCTACCAATCACCGAATTGAAAGTTAAGAGTGCACCTATATTTATAACAGCAGGCCATTGGCAATACACACAAGTACTATTGAAAAGGATTAATATCAAAAGGGGCAGTCTCATTGTGGCAATGAATTTCATGGTTGAAGCTTCAAACTTTATAAACAGGGAAGAAGCAGTGTTGACCCAAAAGGCCAAAACCCATATGCTTCACAATGGATTTTTAGACATCTGTAAAGAAATTAACTTAAGATGATTCACATATTCATGAAGACCCATATAATAGCATCAAGTATCAACAAGGTTACCCTAGAAATTAAAAGGGTACCCCACATATTAAAGGCACATCTGCTTCGTGATCAGAAAACTACATGTTCTAGATGTTTTTTTGGTTTTTAGGGACTCAATTAGAGTGGAAAGTTTCTTTAAATGAATGATGAGTAGAACACCAATTCTGAATACCCAAAAGTGTGGAAAAAATGAAATTGAAGTTCAGGCAGACCCTAAAAACGAAGGGTACAACATATTTGGCAGAAAAATTAGTGTATTCAAAATAGTCAAGTGTGATGTTGATTTTTGGTTTGTGGAAATCATGTTTAACATGATGGAAACAAGAATCTCATTTTTGGAGAGAGAACCAAGAAAAGATAGCAATAGAAACAACGACACGAATTGGGTCTAGGGGTGGGGGGTCCTCAAATGCACAATTGATGAGGGCCTTTTATGCATAAATGGTGAGTGACAAAATGGAAAACAAAAGGGTAAAATGGGATTTTCAGTTTTATTTTTTGTAAAAGTGGTCAGAAGAACCAGTTATGCACCTTTTTAAAAATTTTGTGAACTTGCATGCACATTTTCAAAAAGTATGGACTAGTTTTGTACTAAGTCTATATATCAAGGGGATTTTTTGTACTTAACCCATCATTTTATACTCTATCTAGACCTGTCAATAAATCAAATTTGGACCAAATCATGGGATCCAATAATCGGACGAATTATTAGCTAATCAATCCATATCCAATTGAATTATTAGTTAATCAATCCATATCCAATTGTTTTGTTTTGTTTATCAGATGTCCGATTATCAATTATCGAATATGATTATTTTGTTATACACTCGTGCACAAATCAAAGAAATTAAAGAGCAAGAAAAATATTTAAACAATTAGCATAGCAAGAAAAACTTAGGGAAAAATAGAAAAATCAATTCTGAAGATGATTTTTCATAAAGGGATCGATGGGAAAAAAGAAGAAGGTTTGTTCAAACCAAATAAATAAATAAAAGGAGTTGAATAGATTTTATATATGTACTATTTTTTCAGTAACTAAAAAAAAACTTAGGGCTTGAAGAATAACTCTTTAATGATAATTTTAGGGAATGTAAGAAGGAAGAATAAGAGGGGAAAAGAGATAAAATCCTGCACAAAGAAGAAGATGGAAAAAGTGAGTTAAATAGGTTTTTTGTACTCTTTGTTCCGTAACTGAAAAAACCCAGGGCTTGTAAGAACACCTCCTTAATGTCAATTTTAGGGCTTGTAAGAAGCAAGAAGATGAAAAAATAAATTAAATAAAATAAAAATTAGGACTAGTAAGAACAACACAAATAAAATAACACTCGAAATTTGTAATAGACAAAAACAAAAGAAAAATAAGAGAATTACGGAATTCACTGGAGGGGATTTGCTGTCTACCGATCTAACAACTCACTCTTTTGAAGTTACAAAAAAACTTGTGGGGAAGGGGGTGAAGATGTTAACACGTAACTAAATAATTAATATATATATATATATATAATTTTAGTTGGATCAGATTGCTATCGGATTGGATCACTCTTAATTTATATTTAATTTGTTAAGCAAACGGATTATCGGATTTAAATTATTATCGGATTATCTGATTTTTTATTCAGTCAAATCCGAGTCAAATCCGAATAATCGGATCAGAATCAAATCCATTGACAAGTAACTCTATCTAAAACCATAGACTCAGTTACACCATATGCTATTGAATCATTCTTTACTAACCGTTTCACGTTAACTTTAGCCGTCCTCTTTTAAAGATCTTAAAGATCTTCCCCGCACACGTCAAAACCAAAACTTAGCGGAGCATACGAAGCCCATATCATACCAATTTTTCAAAATTTCGAATGCTAGATCATATATTTACATAAATGAACAAATTTCAGTACCAAATTCCACATATTTAGGGAAAAGCTTAAAGAAAACCAGGTCTATAACAACATCAAGATACAAAAATAAAAATAAAAGATTTCACATGCAAACTAAGCAATAAATAAGGATTTCTTTTCCTTAAATTAGAAAATAAGAATATCAGTGTCAGCAAAGGCTAAATTTAAAATATACATGGAGCATGCTCAGAATCAATGTTTGGATACATTTCAGAATATATACATGCCCCCTCAGTCATCTGTAAAGAAATGTCCAGAAAGATTATTCATGACAGCTAATTGCATGTTCTCCGATGGCTTCCAGTGCCGCTTTCTTTGATTGATAAACCAGTTGTTAATTTGCTTCTGATCTAGCCCGGTTGATTCGGCCAGTGATATTTTATCGGCTTCCTGGTTGTTTTAAGAAAAAAAAAAAAAAGGTGACTATGATTTTCTTTCTTCGTCCAAGGTACAAAATGTCGTGCAAATCTGCCCGTAGACAACGTGCTCGGCACAGCAGAATGTTAGGTAGCAACACCCACAATCATGCACAAAAAGAAAGAACATACAGTACCACAATATGCAATGTCGTGTATATATATAAGCATGCATAGTATACCGGAAGGAGATACTTACAGTCGGGTAAGGCCATTTGTAGTGCACATTCCACCACTCCAGTAGGATTTGCCTTGCCTCTCTGGGCAGCTTTCCTTTCTTCTTCTTCTTCGAAAATACGAGCTTCAAGCTACTAATGTGACTACCATATTTACGTAAGAGCCTATCTTTAAGTTCGCGGTCTTCGGCTCTTGTTTGCGCCTCTTGCATTTCGATTTCTCCTCCGCTATATTCCTCATCTGATGATATACCATCTTCATCTGCCCAACCGCACAAAGTATTTGCAATAAACATCACAAATCTGAACTCAAACGACTAACTTTAATCGAAAAAAGAAAAAATAAATAGAACATCACACATTTGATCTATACTAATCCAAAATGGATCATTTTCCAACGAAAAAACAAGAAACCAGATTAGATTATAATTTATAACAACATCCCTATTTTCCTAGATATATTCCTGGAAAATATATAGAGCGTACACAACTTTAGATATGATACCGAGAAGATAACAAATATGGTAAATTCTAGCAGAGGTAATGAGTCACCATTCTTCAACTTCATGAATATAGTGACTCAATGGACAAAATCCATTTCAACTTCCCAATACTTTTGATTCTAACAGCCTCTAAATGTCAATTAAAATATGAAGAAAATAGGCATACTAAGAAAAAATCAAAAATCAAAATGTTAATCATGTTGCATTGATGGGATACTAAATCGACAAGTGAAAAAATAAAACTGTGTTTTCACAACCCCTCTCAACATGAGAAGGAAATAATAAATAAGTTGACTATGGATTATTATTATTATTATTATTATTATTATTATTATTACTATTATTATTATTATTTTTGGCCTCAATTTTTCGTGTGGTAGTAATTTTGTTACTGATTTAATAATAAAACCTACATTCAGCCTTTAAGGCAAGAAATAATATATATATATATATATATATATATATATAAAAAATAAAAATAATAATAAAAAAAGAAGTTACATTAAATACAGTAAAAACATGGGAAGTGTTTTTGGGTGACAGGGTGGTTAAGGAAGGCACGCGCCCTCCTAGATTTTCTCCCTCTTATGTTCTATATATATTTTATAATAATATATATTCCCTAAATTTTTTCTTTCTTCATAAAATTTATATATGTTTCATATATATATACTTATAAATATTAACTTTATATTGCAAATATATGTGATGGCATATAATATTATAATGTGCCCCAGAAAAAAATTTCTGGCTTCGTCCGACAATCCTGGGTCTAAATGTGGCTTACTTCAAGTAAAAGGCAGGAGTAATTTTTTTACTCCATGCATCATTCGCAGTTATGGTGTAATGGATTCGAGTCAATATCGATATAAACTGACATGTTCATAGAGTTGTGTAACAATAGCGGACTTTTGATAGAAGATTTCGAACCGGCCAATACACGAAACCATAACTCCTTGTTACTTCATATATATATATATATATATATATATAGTAAAAAACTATTCCAGCCTTCACGGGGGTGGCAGTGACGGCATAACGCCGGGGAGCTGAAAAGAAAAATGAAGGGGAGTGGTGCAGAAAAAGGTGAGTAGTAGGCATTAAAGGGAGGTCTGAGAGTTTTTGTGATGAGTGAGTCAGAGAAATAAGGCAGCGTTTGACTAGACGGTACGGCCATCAAATCAAATAACAGTGACACCCATTCACTTAGTCCGGTACGCACGCCCCCACAAAACAGCAAATCCAAAGCCAGGCCATTACTCTCCTGCGAAAAGACCATTTTGTCCACCGTCACCACCCCCTCAATTTTTATGCTCCACCAAGCGATTTTCGTAAAAATATACAGTACTTATGTGGTATTTTATTTCTAATCACAGCTCGGCTGTATAAAATGAAATAAAAAAAAGTCTAAAATAAAATAATAATAATAAGCCAATTATAATATTATATATTCTCTTTATCTTTTATGGGTAGCCCTCATAAATGTTTCCTTTCCGGAATTCAATACGCATAATAGTTACTAGTATTTTAGCATATTAGTCGCATTCACTATTCTCACAGCCGTTGCCTGGCCTGCTAGGCTGCAACGACTGCTAATAGTGTGATAAAAAGGTGGGGAATTATTTGAGCCAGAAAAATATTTTTAAAAAAATTTAAAAATATGCATTTATGCAATTGTATTAAAATCATATTTTCAAATAAATGGCAAAAATGGAAGTCTAGTCATGAAACCACCAGCACCTCATGTTTGGTTGCTTGAGATGAAAAAACAAATTTTCAATAAAATAAATGAGATAAGAGTAGTTGTACAAATATTTATCATATATTATGGTTAACAAAATTCATTTGTTGAGACACCCTTTTTAAAAAATAAATAAATAAATTCTTGGGGGTGTAATGAAAAAATATAAATTAAATTAAGAGCACCAATGACAGAAGAATTGATTGTGAAATTTCAAGAGAGCCGAGTTGGGTCACTCAAGATTCTCAGAATAATCACTAACTAAAGGTCTCTCACTCAATGGTATAATCTCTTTATACTCAAAGAGGAGAAAGAAGGATTTAAGTTCAAGCATGGGCCAAAAAGTGACATTCAAACAAAAATTATAATAAGAGAATACATATATATATATATATATATATATATATTCGAAGAACAAAGAAAGTTATCTAGTTTTAGTCAATAACCCCAAATGACATTTAATTTAATGGTATAACCTTTTTGAAGAAATTTTTAGATGGTTATGGATTACATAATCTCAGCCAATTATATCCAATCATACCCAGACACACAAATAAATGGACAAACTTTATTCAGGAGCGACCAAGACTATGTAATCCCTAATCATATAACAATTTCTCCATGGTCAAAGAGGATGGGACCGGATTTAGCTCCACCAAAAAGTGAATGAGTACTTACCACACCAAAAACATAAAAATAAAATTAGTCTACACTTTTTAAAAATTATTAAATTTGTTTATTTTAGGAATGACAAAATTTAACATGATTCGAACACAACATGAGTTAAACGAATTTGGATCGTAAACGCGTTAACACGATTAATCAGTTTAATTAATCATGTCGTGCTTGAATTTGAATTAAGAGATTCAACCTGTTTGTACCCATTTAGCCATATGTGTCATAATATTTCTATTTGAGTTCCACAATAACTACCTAAACTTTTATTTTATACTATTTAGTAATTTAGTTGAATTGAAGATTATAATTTTTTTTAGCATTTATTGTTTGATCGAGTCTTATCAATAATCTAAGTAATATAATGTGTAGTCTCACTAAGCAGTTTATACGTGTAACTCATCAATATGCAACGAGTCGATTAATATTAAGAGTTCTTGATACCATTATTAAAAGTGTAGATTATTAAGTCTTGTTTGAATTCATTTATTTAAAATACTTTTAAATCAACACAACCACGCCTATAATTTTAATAAATTTTGAAAAGAAAGATGATAAATAATTGAAGAGAAAAGCAAAAACTAGTATGATAAAGATTGGAGGGTGGGGGGTAATGGGACCCAAAGCAAGGGAAGGAGTAAAATAGAAGACAGACACGTTTTATCACACACAGCACCCGGCACGGAGACCCAAGGGGGCCTGGAGAAAATGTCCGTGGACATGACAAGCACTAATAACCCATCAGGGAGTGGCTGAGACAGAGACTCTGAGTGAGAGTAAAAAGACAAAGACACCGATTGAATGCTTAAAAGCTGCTTTCATGAGCAGCGTAAACCGCGGGAGTCCATGTGATCTCCGACCACCCGCCCTACCCGGGCTTTTTCACTAAAACACCCTTTCCCTACCGACTGCCCCTCCCCCATTAATAATACCCATGCCTACCTTCCACTCCCACTTCCACTTCCACACATTAATTTCACCCCCCTCTACATCTATATTTATATCTATATCTATATCTATACACACACATTCATATAGACAGTCCATACTCATTCCTCTCCTTCCTCTGTATGTGCTGTAATAATCATCATCACAAGCCCACTCAATCCCCATCACAAGCAAATTAATAAGGTCTCAGGAGTTTCTTGGATTCTACATCTCCAGTGCTTGAACAGAACCCAGATCCTGTGCAATACTGTAGAGGGTACAATACACCACCAACAGTGGCGATTGCGACACCCAAAATGTATAGGTGCAACAACCCTACTGTATTCTAATGGGCTCCAAAGGGACAACTATATGAAACTGCATGCCTAAACTTCTTTAAAACTGAAAGACAAACATGCATATATATATATATATATATATATTGCGTGAAAGACATTAAGATGGTTTACCAAACCACCGCCAAAGAAACTCTAGCAAAAACATACCATTCAGACATATGGGGTAGAATACAGGCAATGTATATTATAAAAAGGAAATTTGACTATAATCATCTGTAGCTACACATCTTTCAAACAATGCATGTGATTTAGTGGAATAGGCCCATTGTTCTTAAAAAAAAAAAAAAAAAAAAAAAAAAAAATTAATTATTTGCATCAACTTATTCTCAAAATGAATAAACCTTATTTGTCCAAGTTACATTATGGAGTAGCATAGCAAATTAGACATTTACGAATCATCTTCCTCATTTCCTTTCTATTACTCACCATCCTACCGTGTGCAACTTTTTTTTAACTCGTTTCTAATAACTTCCTCCATGTTAATTTGGTCTCCCACTTGCTCCATCTCTTAACTCGTATAAAAATAAAAAATTCCCCTTCTCACCAAAGCGCCTATAGGTCACCGGTGTGTGTGTCCAAACTATCTAAGCATACCAAAATATATATATATATATGCATGCATAATTTATATCTAATATTGAAGTGATAATCAGACTTATATCCTTGTTATTTATTAAAAACTGGCTTCATAATGCTACGATCGGAAGTTCAACACTAGGAATACTCTTACTTCGACGATAGCTTGAAATGTAAGAGAAATAGACAATGTAACAAATAATTTGCAACTTCTCCATAGTATGAGATCTTCACAAATCCTAAGAATGTCGATGACTCCTCGTATAGATTTAAATTGCGAAATTTAATTCAACAATTTTCACAATATATATACACACACACACACACACACATATGATGTAGCAGTGGCATATTAAAACAAAGCAAATAGTTAATCCTATATCTAGAAACCATCCCATTAACGATGATCTGTAGGCGCACCAAAAGCAAAGAACAAATAGAATAACATGATGTTGGAGAGAAAAAAGAGTGTTTGATCTATTATGTAAAGAAGGGCCAAGCATGCAAAAAGTGGAGGATATAGAAAACTGCGAAAATGGTTATCCAACAATAACTGAGCAGAAAATGAAGCAAAGGGCTAACGAGAACACCATCCAGGTGGATAAGCACCAAAAGACAATCTAAGCAAGTGGATATCAATATTTGTTTCTAAAAAAAAAAAAAAGAAATCAAACTTCTGGAAAAGAGGATTAAGAAGAATCATCTTAAGCATGAGAGAAAACAGAGGGAACACGAGCCCAACTAAAGTAATGGAAAGATCACTGCTGAAAAGTTAATATGTACTTTCAAACAAAAACAATAATAGTTGCCAACCATAACCAGCCTCATTTATGTGATCAAACTACCTTTTTTTAACTTAATCCTTACATAAAACTGCTTATATTATTCGTCACAAATTTGAAAGTTTAAGGCAGCTGGTACATTGATGCCATTTGCATGACCTCCACCCCGAGGTGATGGAGACAAGCAGCTTTTCTCCATTAGATTCCTAAAATAACACAACTTTATACTAAACTCTTATATTACTATATGCTAAACCGCATTAAAGAACTAATAAAGCAAGCAGCAAATGCAAACTGTACTAACTACTTATTAAGTTCCGCGGTTTATTTAATTGTGTAGCAAATGTCAGGCTTGAAAGGAGACTATGAGAATTTGGGCATAAAATAAAGAATTGGATGTCAAAAGAAGCATTAGCACACGATCAAATCAAAACACAAGTTCCTTTTCAAAATCCTTCCTGTTTAATGTTCGGCCACGTGACTTGAATAGAGAGATTCATGTGCAGAGATCTATCATGTTGAGGATGAGGATATGCCTAAGGATATATAAATTATACTGATTATATTTTATGTGGAAAATCCCAAAACAACTTTGAAGAAGATTTATATGGGAGAGAAAATATTGCTTAACAAATATATATATATATATACACACACACACATATTGCTATATATATATATATATTGCTTTAACCGAAGAACAGCCAGTCCTTGGACAATTTCCAATGTCCATTTCTCAACTCCCACTGCCACTACTCCCAAAGACATGCTATATTGGAACTTGAAACTATTTAAAGTAACAAGACCGTAACATTTAGAGAATTAGGATGAAGAGTGATCATATCACATGCACCAAGTAGACTAAATTGAAAAAGGCTCATCATCTTTAGAAAATTTAATAAATAACCACTTTTAGGAATACTTGTTACACTTTTGCACCCAATTAAAGGATTAAAATGGCATCAACCAACATAACAGAAAGGTACATCAAGGAGAATGATGAAAATAAAACTTTGAAACACCATATAGGGTTTTGTTCCAAAGTTTTCTGCAACTAATTCATATAAGTAAAAAAATTCAATAAAATAACTAAACAGAATTTAGAAATGCATAACTTCAAGCATTTGGATCTAACGTGTTATCATTCTGTCTAACTAGCTCTTCTAGGGGCAAAAAAATAATAATAATTCCCCACATCACAGGCGAAATTCAACTCCACTTAATTATTATATGAATTGACTACCATAACGAATAAAATTACAAATCGAATTTAATTTCATGTTACATTTTGTACCAATGACCAAACATTAGAGTAAATAAAGTCATAAGCCAATAATTAACTAAAATTTGATCTTTTGAGGATACTAAATCCAACTAGCATTCACTAATTTGCTATATTGATAATGAAAATCGGTACTATGTTATGTATAGGGCTAGTCCAATGCACGAAGCTTTTGCCACGGCCAGTTCTAGAAAGGGTTAGACATATACACATCCTTACCTCCGCATGTTGTACGATATTACGCACGCAGTGCATTATAGTTGCACAAGAGAGAGAGGGAAAAAATAAGGAAAATAACTATTATTCTTTTTCAATTACAAATATTTTTTTCTTTTTTTGGTCCTTAAATTGACATTAACTACATTTTTACCAAATGAGATTTATCTAAACCTAAAAGTCTAGTCCATTGGACTATACATAAAGTTTGTAGTCAGTTCCAGAACATGATGGGATTGATGCTTGCATAATAAAGTTCATGTAGCTAAAACATGTAAATCATATTGAGGGGTGGCTTAAAAAGATACTAATCCCAACAAAAATACTAAACCAGTTGGACTGTGTGTTTTCTGAGTGTGTACATGTGTGTGTAAATTATCAAAAGATCTTTAAATGAATCGGGTAACTAAAAATCATCACAAATTTTTGGACAGGAATTTTTCAGAGGACCTATACTGTAAGAAGCTATGACTAGGTTTCTGTATCAGTGGTTCACTGGAAATAATAAAAGAATTGCTATCACTGTGTTCAAGTACCCCAAACTACTATTTACCATGTCTTACTGTGTCACCTGAACTACTGAAACGTCAAAATCAGAATCTCTCTAAAATAAATAAAATAAAGGGTTTTAGTTCTAAGTTTTTCATTTTTCACTGACACACACAAAAGAAAGCTAAGATAGAAAAAGGAAAATAAAAGGAAAGAAAACAAATACAACAAACAATATAGGGTTAAAGAGTAGTATTATGTATATATAATACATACACTAAAACCACTGTTGCAAGGTTCTTGACTGCACACCACCGTGACTTTTAAGGTTTACTATTTCTTGTACAAACAAAAAGATATATGAGAGAAATTCACCACACCACATCACAATAGCACAAGAATTTAGAAAAAAAATTTACACAATTATTTATACTGATCCAAGGCCATTCCATGTGAAGAAAAAGTCATTAAATCTAAAATAATGGTCAGTTTAGGTTGATATAGTTTTTGTTCTAGATATAAATTCGCTTTGATTATTCTGATTCTTCAGTACAAATTGATGTTCAAAAAATAAGTAATTATTAACCAACTGAAACTAACTAGGGCAAAGAGGTTAGGTAAGTTAGAGTTATAGGAGCATTATAGATGTTTCACCATGTGGGTTTGTTATGCTAACCTGCGCCAGATTTTATGCTAACGTGCGCCGAGGACCACAACGCACGAAAGAAACTTCGAGCTTGATCAAAAGTTTGCAGTCTGATTTCTTGTATGTGTGAAAATGGCGATATTTGCACCGTTAAGTATGTGTGTGTGTGTGAGAGAGAGAGAGAGAGAGAGAGAGAGGGAGAGAGAGACTGACCGATATTGACGCTTCTTGTGGAAGCACCTTTGCAGAGATCGTCGAGTTGCATTTCGATGTTGTTGAAGAACGTGGTGGCTTCATCGAAAGGCCTTGAGAGATCCGATTTGTACTTCACCAACATATCACGGTAGGTTTCCTAGAGAGACAAAGTATTCAGATATTCGAACTGTAGGGAGAGAAACCACAAATCCACATAGAAATTCACAGAACAAAGATAGAAATGGATGAACAAACTAGATAGCTAGAGAGAGAAAGAGAGACCATAAACTCGTCCAGCTCGGGATCAGCTCCTAAGCACGTGGAAATAGCATCTCGATTACCGACCACCACGTTCTCTCGCTGGATTTCATCTAACAGGCACGACATCTCCGGTGGCGCTCCGACCTGAAAAACGCGCGCACTGATCATCCACACACCGATAGCTTTAAAACTACACCAAATATAAGAAAAACACAGCTATCTAAAATTCCTCAAATCAATTTTCCTGGAAAAATCATAACAATTTTCCCGGAAAATTCATAGCGATTGACTCATACATCAAGAATTTGAAAGTTTCATTAATATTGAAAGCCTTCGGCTGAAGAGTTATGGATCTTCAAAATTAACAAAACTCCGAGCAAATCGGAGTAAATAATTGAAAGCAAAACAGAAAGTACTAATTAGGTTAAAACTTAAACTCCGCTTCAATTCTGAACAGTTCTAGCTATTTTACATAATATGTAGAGAAAAACAAAAGCAAAAGCAAAAAAAAAAAAACTCCAAAAAGCACTTGAAAGAAACTAAAGAGTTTGAGATTTCGCTATATATAATTGCACAGTTTTGATGTCTTCTTAACCTTCTGGCAATCGATGTAAGCTTCGAGAAGTTTCGGATACGAAGGATGAGAAGCGATTTTGCCCTTCATTACAGTAGACGACATATCGCCGTCGTCGTCGCGGCGGCCTATTTGAATCTCATTAGGCGTGATGGAGGCGGATTCCGATATCGCGGAGGCGGCCGACATCAGCTCCTCCGATCCGAACATCGGGAAGCGGTGGTGATCGACGCCGGAGCAAAGCAGGCTCTGGTAATCCGCCGGTATCATCAGATTGTCCGGAGACATTAGGACCTTGTTGGCGTAATCACCGGGCGTTGAATGAAGACTACCGTAAAATTCATCCATAAGTACTATACACCTTCTAGAAACACAAAACAGAATTACAGAAGATTGTGAGAGAGAGGAGAGAGAGGTATGTTAGTGAATTAAGCTCCTTGTGAAAACCTTATATAACTGTGTACATGTGTGTATAGTGTGTGTGTATATATATATATAGACACACACATATTATGTGTATATATATATAGGTTTAAATTAGTGGAAGAGTTGTGGATTTGGATGGAATTGGAGCAGCAGAGATCGAAGTGGGAGTGTTTTTGGGGAGTGGGACTGTGTGATTATTTTGGAGAACAAACAAAAAGGTGATGCTGAAGCTAAAGGCTCAAGTTGAAGCCTCCAACTCCAGGCCCATTCTTTCCTTCATTATTTTTATTTTTAACTTTTCAGTTTTTTATTTTATTTTTTGTTTTTGGAAAATAATTTTTTATTTTGAGATTTATTTATGTAGGAAAATTTACTGTTCAAATTTTAATTAAAAAAATCAGATTTTTTTTTTAAATTATTTGTTGAAAATATGAGTTGTCGTGTGGGACATGGTAAAAAAGAGAACCACTATTTGGGAAAATCGGTTAATGACACTTCAGAGCTACATCAAGATCAACTTGGTGCCACGTCAGTTCCAAATGTCACCATGTCGATGATATCAGCATCATATGTGGAAACTATGTTGTGCCACAGCAGTTCCACGTGGCAAATGATATCAGCATCACATGGGGCAATTAACTATGTTTTCCACTCCTCAAGGGTTCGCCTGGTTGCCCTAGACTTCTAGGGCCTCCTAAAGCATTATTTCTCGGTTTTCATTCCTCTTTAGTGCAAATTACTGTGATACGACCGACAAATAATTCGAGCTTTATTCAATTCTAGTAACACATGCAAATAATTTCAATTTGATTGTTTTTTTTTCCTAGATGTATACTCACACGTCTATGTCTCCATGAAAGCGCATTTTAAAAAATAAGAATATGATATCATTATAGCACTAATTCAATAATAGGGCAAACACTTGTAAACGATTTTTCATTACAACAGTTAAGGATAGCAAATTACTACACTATACGATAACATGACACGAATACGATACGAGTTAAAAATATTTGAGTTTGACATAAACGAATTTGGATCATAAAGGGTCAACACGATTAACCCGTTTATTTAATTGTGTCGGGTTAGGATTGAGGGGTTCAACCCGTGTAACCCGTTGATTACCCATTTAATTTAACATGTTCTAATCGTAAATATGACATATATAATATGTTACCTGTTTAAACTCACTTACTATTGATAGTTAAGTCATTTAACATAAACCTTTTCTATATCTTATGATTTTTTTTTTTTTTTAAATATTTATGTTAATTATGACAATTTTTTCAATTATTTCGTATTTGATTAAATATTAAATATTTTGTTTTAATAACGAATTTGATTAGTGTTAAGAATTCATGATTATTAAATGGTTTGAATTTGAATTTACTTATTTAATATAATTCGTTTATATAGACACAACAATAATACAAATTGTCACCCCTAACAACAGTAACCTGAAACATAGGTAGTGAAATTATGACCCATTTGATTTAGAAGTTGAACCTACGAATTTTCAACCACATATGTACAATTTTCATGTTTCGTGAAACATGCAAACAACAAAATTTTCTTCACGCACTTGAAATTCTACATGTTTAAATAGTGATATTTTGTCCCTCAAATGATGTCAGAGAACACTTAAAAGACGGTACTTTGACACCCAATTGCAGAATTTGTCAAAGTTGCTAAATTGACATTCATGGTAAAAAGTAAAAAAAAAATTCTCAAGAATTTACAAATTTTCAATTTGGTATAAATTAATTTTACATTTTTAATTTGTAAATATAGGGTTTCTAAATTAACGTTTCATATATTACACTTTCAATAAAATATAGTAATATAGTATAATTTACATGTTTACAGTTTTTAAAATTTTAAAGCTTGAAATTAAAGAGATAGACACACTTTATTAACAACTTTAGAAACAATGGTATTTTTTTGTCTAATTAATATTTTTTGTTGAAATGATAACTTCATATTTGATTATATTGACTTGAGTAATTATGACAAAGTCATATAAAGTGAAAGCTTGAAACACAATTTATTTATAAGGGTACTTCTTTTTGTCTAATTTATATTTTTGTTGAAATGGCCACCTTGCTATTTGATTATATTGATTTGACACATACTTATAATCTTAAATCATATAAAGACAAAGTGAGAACGAATTCGAGAGCCATTATGTGAAAGTAATAAAATTAAAGTAAAAATAATAGAAACAAAAGTCAAAGCGTGCTTTAATGCAAGAGTGAGAATACACTCAGAATATGAGAACGGCATCCAAAGATTGTGTGACTTCTTAACTTTTACCTACCGCATAAGATCTTAAAATGATAGATTTTAGATAATTTATCCCGTTATAAATTATAAAAATTCCGCTTCATATTATGAGAAGATCTGAAATTAAATTAATCACAACAACTCATTCTAAGAATATGACAAGATGGAGGTGAAAAAATAATAATAATATGTAGGAATTATATTGCTAAATTAATTGTAGTTGTCCTATGCACGCACATTATTGTCGTGCAAAGCGATATGCATGAATGTAAAGTTAAAGATACACCAGTGTTAATGTGTTCAAATCATCCCATCCCATGATTTTAATAACTCGTTTTACGATGATGGATTTTATTATATTTATAGTAAATGAATTATTAAATTTACAGTGATGTGATGATTTAATTTTTATAGATTTAAATTTATAATATTATAAGAACAAAATTAAAAATATATATATATATATAATAGTACATTGACTTTTTAAATGAGACAATTATTTTGATACGAATATAAATTGAAATGTGAAAACTTTTTAAATGGGACAATTATTTTGATACGAATATAAATTGAAATGTGAAAACTTATTTTTGGAACATATTGAGTATAATTTTTTTTGTGTGTTTTTCGTTCAATAATATTTTTATCAATTCTAAACTGATCGAATCATTCAATGCATCCTCTGTAATGCAGGTGCATTTCTTAATTAAAATGATACATTAATTAATAATTAATTGGCCTCTTAACCCTATTTGATGGGATGAAGAAGAACCAAATATGGAAGATACATACATACATACATACATACATACATATATATATATGCTAAATGGGAGAATCAAGATGACCCCTTACAATATTTATTTAGGAGGAAAAGGTGGAAGGCAAACAACTTATTGGAGTCTTTTACCATTTTGGAAGTGATGAAGAACCAAACTTTCCAGAAATACAAATATAGAAAAGATTGTGTAAAGTAGTAGTGAATAGTTACCAACAATTTTTTTATGAAAAGGTGAAAGGCAGAGATAGTAACTACATAAATATTAAAGCAAAGAACAACAAGAATAAGTGAAATCATCAATCCTGCATATTTTATTCTGGTATAAAATACGAACGCAACAATTCTTAATGTTTAACTTTAATGGATAGCCCAATGGCAAATATGGGCGAAGCTACAATTTCAATTCAAGAGGTACAGTGTAAATAATAATAATAATAGATAAAGGAAGGTGATATTCGTACTCCACGTTTTTTTTTACGTGCAATACAATCTTAAATGAAATGACAATTCTAACATTAACTTTACAAATAAATGATTATTACTTTTTAAATGACACAATTATTCTTTCAGATTTCCTATCATTATCTCAAATCTTTAATATTTTAAGTCTCTTTTGACAAGAAAAAAAAAAATTAATAATTTGTTTTTTACAAGAACAAAAAAGAAAAATTATGTTGAATAAATTGCCTCTTTTGACCGGATCAAAAAAAAAAATAACCATTAAAAATTGGTCTCTTTTGACAAGAAAAAAAAAAAAAAAAAAAAAGCACAAAACAAAAAAGATTCAAAAAATATCTCTATTGAATAAATTCTCTTTTGATAAGACCTAAAAAAATATATATTTATTTTATTGAATAAATTATTTCTTTTGACAAGACCCATAGAAAATACACAAAAAAAAAAAAAAAAAAAGGTTACTGTTGAATAAATTATCTCTTTTGACTATTAAAAATAAAATTATCAGTATGAAATGAATTAACTTTGTTGAGAGGACCTCGGAGAAGAAAAAGATAAGAAAGTAAAGCACAAGGGAAAAAAATATTAAAAGAACTAAAGAAGGTAAAAAATAAAAATAAAATAAAATTGTATAAAGGGTAATTATGGTATTATAAAATAAGGAATAGTGTATTAATGAATTCAATCACCTTCTTATCATTTATGTTAAAAGAAAAAAAAAAAATGTAATGCAATTGGAGAAAAGTGGAGTGTGAATATCGCCTCCCTAAATAAATAAATAAAGAAGAATTATTTTCGGTAGTAGATGATAAAGAAAAAGGAAAGAAGAATGACGTAACTTTAAAAAGAAAAATAAATAAAGCATGAGTGAAGCACGGAAATTTTATTTTTTAAAGAAAACCAAAGGAATTTAATGAGAGAAAGAGGAAAATAAGGAAAAATTAATGTGAATTTTAGAAACTAAAATAGTTTTAGAGGTGCATTATATACAAATTTTCATATATATATATATATATGTAAGGAAATTAAAAAAAATAAATAAAATCGTACATAATATAGTCGGCGGAGCGAGGCTAGGAAGACATGTAACCCTCGTGCATACACGGGCTCAAAGACTCTCATATCACATTAAAGTTTAGGAGTTCAAATTCCCCTAAGGCCACTTTTAGAGAATTTTTTTGACAATTACTTTGTGTATGTGGGAAGCAAGACCGAGTAGTATGTCTAGTGGTGGAATATGGGATGTTCTAAGAGGTCAACACTCCAAATCCCCTTGATGCTAGTCTTAGAGAATTTTTTTGGCCTCGTGGATGTGAGAAGGGGGCTGAATGTGTTCGGTGGTGAAATATGAGATGCTTTGAGAGGCCGACTCTACCATATTTGTTAAAAATAAATAAATAAA